CTTCCCTCAGCCCCAAAAGGGTCTCTCTCTGTCTGTGGCCTTTTACAGGGCCACCAGACCAACTGGATTGTCTGTGCTTTGGGACTGAGCCCGTTGGCGTGGCAGCTGAGAGCACCTGGGACTGCCACGTGGGACTGCTTGACTAGGCCAGGGTCTGCTGGTTGCTGTGGTGTTAACAGGCACCTAGCCCCCATTGAGTGTGGTCTTTGCCAGGCTGAGTCAGAGCAAGACCCTGCTTTGAGAGGGGTCCGCAAGAACCAGCTGCCTGGACCCACCGAGGCAAGTGGTGGAAAGTGAACTAAGCACTGAAGAGAGGAAAACAATGCACAAGGAAAAGAAAATCCAATGTACATGCCCCTTAAAAGTGATGGGGATGCAGAATGGCAAAGAAAACCCGACTGAAATGAACAGTGAAAGCGAGGCAAAACACCAGTGCAGAATAGACTTAGGTCTGACTGGAACCATGGCACACGGTGAAGAGGAATTTAAGTTTTACCATTGTGCCTTTTCCCAAATCTGAAATATCCCCATGAAGCTGCTAGTTGACCTATTGAGGCAAACTTGCAAGTATACCAAACCAGAATTGGATCCCCACACACCTGATTTGTATCGTGAAAATGCTGAAAATTCAGTTCACAAACTGCCCTTGGTCATGATTCTGTTTCCACTAAAATCCATAGGGGTGGTACTGGGAATGCAATCAGCCATTGGGGGGGGGGGAATCAGGTTTAAATTAAATCATTGGGCTCTTTTCAGCAAGTATTTTATTCTGTTACATTTTAATCTGAAAAAGTACTTGAAGTTGCTGCAAGATTACCTAGACACAACAGCCCAACCAAGTTTGAAGTCCACTGACTCTCTTCCTGCTCCATCTGTATCTATCAATCAATCAATCAATCCTTTATTCCGCCAACAACCAATACAAGTCAAGAATAAAAGCTTTACAATAATGTCATTAGAAAGTAAAGTTAAAATCTGTACATAATATATCTCTACGAATTCTACAGGCTACTGAAAAAAAATTGGCACAACTAATGGTAACCTGTTGATTAGCACCCATTAAAAATGTCTTTAAAATATAAACATCGGAACATCCAGGAAAATTGATAAGTAGAGGCTCCATCTGTATCTCATCATACAGGAACAGATGTAAAATTTCTACTCATACAACTCCTGTTCATCTCACTTGTCTCTAGCCTTTCCCTATTTGGTCATCCCTGAATATGCAAACCTGCATGCAACAGAGAAATATCTACAATACAGAGTCCATAAAGTATCTAGAAATACAGTAGCTGTAAGTCTCACAAGAAATGCCCTAAAAAAAGAAAAAACTCAACTACAGAGGCCCTGACAAGTGTATTTTAAAAACAAATAAACAGTCTCTGATTATTCGATGTACAGTGCAACCCACCCCAATAGCTGGATAAGTACTTCATAATATTTAATATTTAAACTGTTGTGCTAGTGTTGATCAAATTTAGGTTAAACTCTGAAAGGTATAATCTTTTGTCATCTACTACATTCTAATAATAAAAGTCAATCAGCTCTTTCAAAGGCACTTGAAACCAAATTTTCTAACACTCGGTCTGTCATTCATTCCTTCATCTACATATAGGTGATTCATTTCACTATTCAGAATTCATCTTTAAAAAGAAAGGAAGTATCACAAGAACAGAAATGACAAGAGGTGTTTAGACAAGACTGACAAGGTTTCCTGTAATTTTGCAGGGATATCTACAATCCCACAGCATTACAGAGAGCAAAAGGAACATGCGGAGAAAGGGACATGTGCTAGGTTTCTAAATGCATCAGGGATACAAGGATCCACTGGGGGTATGCAGGCCTTAGCACAAAACCCACTAAAACAAACAAGAGTTGCTTCCAACCCTATGTGCCAAAGAGCCATGCCTTCAGCTCTGAACAGCCCTGTCTCAAAGCCAATTCAACCATTTGACTGCTGTCCCCTATTTTCTGATCATATCTCTTGTAGAATATCATTAGTGTGTGGTGTAGCAATCAAAATTCCTTGACTGAAAGTAAAGAGAGCTCTAGATTCAAATTGCCCTAGTATAAAGCTTTTAGAGTTTAAAGCTTTAGTTCCTGGTAATAACCCAGGTTTGTGAGGAAGGTTCTGATTCAGTATGTGTGTAGCTGTGGGAACTTAAATCAGCTGAAGAGTTGTCCTTCACAGTATGTGAGACAGTAGGAGAATGACAGAAATAAAATAAGAGAATGCTTTTAAACCTCACAGAACAGAAAAGACCATATATTTAGGCCATTTGTGGCCTCTCTTGGGATTTTACTTAGAGAGGTTCCAATATTTTATTCCATGCATTATGCAAAGCACACTTGTTTTTCAATTTATAAGCTGCTGCCAGGTCTTTTGACAAAACACAGTCTTTAATTGATTACATAAATGAAGGATAATCATGGAAAGACAGATGTTCCTCTCTGTTAGGTTCGCTCCTGTTACATATTTTTAAGAGTGGTTCACTATAAATTATTTCACAACTTTACATTTTAGTGGCATGTAGACCTCAAATATAATTACTATACAGTTTTCTGAGATATTGCTTCAATGACGCATGTCAGCTGGGAAAAGGTAGTGGCCATTCAGAGAGGTAAAATGAAGGGCACTTATCTGACTTATACCATTTCAAATGTATTCCTACTACGCAATGCTTCCTAGCAAACTGCGTAGCCTTTTTCTCCAATTCTCTTTTTTTTAAAAAATAAAGCATTCTATATCATCTTTATACCCTGAAGTATTACTTCAGAATGCTCAAAACAGTGCTTCAAAAAAAGAAACATTTAGAATAGAACTTATAGTTACAGCTATCAATGGAAAAATGCTAGATGGTTTTCCTTCCAGAAACATCATGGGGTATTTAACAGAGAGACTTGCTAACAAGCACTGTAGGATTAGTTGTGTTGTAGATAAGGGGGAGGAAAGGTTGAACTTTCCTCTGTCCCTAGGACTTGGACAGTGCAAATGAGAAGCAACCAGGCATACACGGTACAGTATGAGTGAAGGTACCACAGGGAATAAAGGAAGTGTCAATCAGAGAATTCTAGAGGTAAATATGCATCGGTGCAAATGTACTCCAGTTCCAATACAATGACATGATGGAACAGGCAGCAGAGAGAAGGAAGGAAAAGAAGTAGGACTGGTTAGAGAAGGCAACAAAGGTCCTTTAAGTTTGGGAAGAATGGCCCATGGAAATTTTAAAGTGAGTCATATTCAGCTTGACCCAAAAGACAGGGACTGGACAATGCTGAACAGAGAGGATGAGTAGAAAGTTTACAGAGAAGAAAGGGAAAACAAAAAAGAGCCTTCTGGTGCCTTAAAGATGAACAGTTTTATTGTAACCTGAGCTTTCATAAGCTAGAGCCCACTTTAAAGAAGAAACAGGTGACAAATAAATATTAAGCTTGACGCACTAAAATGTGGAATGAGGAATTTTCTGTTTATGCTTTTAAAACATTGTTGACTGTGTGGACAGTTATTTCTTTATCTTAGGCCTGCATAGTATTATGTAATTTTTTTAATTTTATTTTATTTTATTGCTGTGCTGTATGGAAAATGTAAGTTAACCTAAACAGGCCAAAGGTGAATCCAATGTGGAAGGATACCTGAAAGGGAGAAGTTTAAGGACTCATCAGAGATAGGGCAGAGATGAGAATAGGTTAAATACCTGTTAATTACAGGACCTCAGGACCTTATCAAGAGGGTTACAATTAAAACTTTTAAAGTCTTTGGATTTTGAAGAATGAATTTAAATTTCTTATCTTTAAAGTCTATGAGGTCAGACTTGCCAGGTGGTTGTGGTAACAGGGCTATAAAATAAGGCACACTATTAATGGAGAACTATACTATCAATTAAGAAAGTGATCCCTTCACAGTAGCAGGATACTGACAGTGCTATCTTGGATAAGATTCTCTGTTTCTCCTCCTCAACTTGGTCCATTCAAGGATAGCATCTTATTTCTTTGTTGTGTAAAATCCCAAGGGTGATTTAGATTTTTCTAACTCTCTGTAAACCAGGTTTAAATAAGTTGTTAAAAGCACCATTAACACACTCTCTCTATTATTTCACTTCTCTCAATGCCATTTATTCCACGTCTGTTTTTAACAGTATTATTAGAACTCATCCGGAATCACTGCACTGTGCATCTTACAATGTTCAATCAAGTTTGTTAAAATTTATTTCTGGTGCCTATTTCATTAACTGGAAACCTCAGTTCAAACCTAAAGAAGAGAGAAGTAAAAAAAAAAAATTACTTCTCTAATCAAAACGGAGTGAAGACCTACTCCCCAAAAGCATGCCTCTCCTTGTTGTGAGAAGGGTAAGCAAGTATACAAAAGAGAAGGGACATGTATGTATGTGCAGTTATTCACACTGAGGCAAAAAGATTCTGAGAAAAGGAAATCACTGAATGCCCTAGGAAGGAGGTCCTGATCTCTCTTGCATGGCTATGAAGCAATTTATTTTGACACATTGTGGTACCTGAAGATGAGGCAATCTTTTTATAAAGAGCAGAGTTTTGATTCTGAATGCCTATCGGCTTCTGGAAAAGAGGAATCTCTGCTGTGCCGCAGAACTCCTTCTTCCATCCTACACATGACAGCTGAGCTCTACAAGGGGGAACAAGGAAGGGAATTGTCTCATTTTTGAAGTGGTAAGAAGTTGGCTGTCTCTTACTTAACTACATTCGTCACCCAAGATGAGAACAGTTGGAGGTGTTTTTGTACAAGTTTTCTTTCCCGCAGTCATAAGATGGGAATACAGCTCATTCTCAGTAAAGCACATTAATCACCTAGGTTGTGGGATTTAACAGCACCAGGGGTATGCATGGAACTGAGTCTGTGTGGGTATGTGGGATGCTTGTCTACAGAGCTAGTTGTCCAGCTCCTGTGAGTTATGTCCATCTCCTGTGATAATGAATACATTAATGCATTGAGGGGGAGAATAGGTACAGGGTCCACACATTGTTCTCACCTGTGGATGTTCATCTCCTGTGGTGGCTGTCGTGCCTTGTCATAGGCCACCTTGGCAAAAATGCCTGCAATGACAACAAAGGCAACGGCTCCACACGAAATGTAGACTGTAGCATTAGTGGTGTCCTCATTTGGGTCATAGACATTGGATATCTCTCCAGGTCCACCATTACTAGTGGCAGTAGTCATTGAATCTGTAGTGGGTCCACGGCCATTATTACGGCACATGTACTGGTTAAGCTTCTCAGAACGCTTGTTGCAGCAAAAGCGGTAATTGCAGGTACCACAACAGTAGCGAAAATCCTTCTGGCTGTTGTTACACTCAAACTCTTTGTCCCACTGTCCACTTACATCATAGTAGCCCATGCACGTATCATATGCTGGGCTTGAGCTGCCTGCACTGCCACTGGAAGCCACTCTTGATGGCCCTTTCTCTCCACCTCCGCTGCGTGCACGGCTGCCCACGCTACCAGCTGGCACGACAGAGGGGGATGTACTGGCCAGTGTCTGGTTCAGTTGCTCCTTAATGAGCTTGGAGGATCGCCGGGGCACTGTTGCCCCCTGTGTCCGGTTGCCCTTGGTTGTCCGTGCAGGCCCAGCTGCGTGCGTGGTCAATAGCAGAGCCAGGGCATACAAGGCAAGGGGCAGCAGCAACAGCAGGTGCCTCTGCCCCATGGTGAGAGGAAGGAGCAGAAAGTCTGCCCAACCCAGCAGTATCAAGGACCTCGGCTCTCCCACTCCATGGATGAATTCGCAGGCAGATGGATGCTTCACTGACAGCAGCCCGAGGCCAGACTCTGTTTCCGGAGAAGCCCCTTCATCCTGGCAAGAAGCAAGAGGCACTACTTTGTTGCGGCTTCAGGGCACAGAGGGGCTCTTCTGTATGCCTTGTCCGGATGGCAGCTTCTCCTGGGATGGTGATGTGCTACAAGAGAGAGACAGACATCAGAGACTACCTGGCCGGAGCTGCTGCTGCATCTGCCTCCCCGAGGGGGCCTTCCGGAGCCAAGTGTTAGAGGGGGAGAAAAGCCCAGAGCAGTCCGAGGGTCGTCTCGGGCTCCTCCTGCCCGCCCGCGGTGAGGTGGGTGCCATAGAAGGCAGGCAGGCAGCTGGGGCATGACAGCGTCCAAGCGGACAGCAGTTCCGGCTGCTCGGATGCCAGCCCAGGAGCTCGCCGGGCACCAGGGAATTCCCTTGGCACAGTCCTGGCAGGCAGAGCAGCAGCCTGGCCAAAGGGACAGCAGCACTCGAGCCGGAGCTGGCTGCGGGCACCGCAGCGCCGGCCGCCTCCTCCCCCCCGCTAAATGCCCTCGCCCCAACCCAGCGCGCACTCCTGCCTTCACTCACCATGCCGGGGCGGAGCGGGAGCACTGCGGAGGCGCCGCGCTGGGCACCCCCGTCGTCGCGCACTGGCCAGAGCTGCCTGCGCCGCCGCCGCCGCCGCTGCTTTCACGGGCTCGACAGGAGCTGCTGTTGTGGAGCGGGCGGGGACAGCAAGAGGCTGAGCGAGAAGCCACCGCCTCTCCTCGCCTGCCTCCTTCTCTCTCTAGGCCCGCCCAGTCCCGGCCCCCTGCGAAGGAGTCGCAGCCCCGCAGCGCTAGCGGGGCAGCGGAGGGAGCTGGGGGCCGGGCGCCGGGGGTTGGGTGGGGGAGCACCAGACTGGGCGCCGCCTTTGGGCGCCCCACAGGTTCCACCCAACAGGCAGGCGTGGGATGACGAGGGGGCTCTTTTCCCATTCTTTTCTCCCTGCAGAACTCAGAAGGAACCTCTTCTCCTCTCCTTCCCACTGCCTCAAAAAGCAGGAAAGAGGTCAGAGTGATGAAAAAATGTTCACAACTAAGCGGGACGATTGGTCGTGGGTTTAGCTACTGCACCAAGAAGGTGCTGTGGGAGGGGAGGCTGTTACATGGGCAGCCAGCATTGCCTAGTTAGTTGGAATGGGGTCTTGGTGTCCCCCATTAACAAACAAACAAACAAATCACCACTGTGCTGGTAATGGAGTTGCCAACCTCCAAGTGGGGCATGGAGATATCAAGAACAGGGTCAGTCCCTCAGTTTTTTGCACACTAGGCAGAGGCTACCTTCTGGTCTCCCCCCCCCATGGACCCACTGGATTGGAATGAGAGTTCCCCTGAGTGGAACACAGCCCCAGAGGATAGTAAAAGCGTTCTGGAACTGGAATGAGAACCTCCAGAGTGGAATGACAGCCCCTGGGGGTAGCAGGAGTGTTCTGTGACTAGAATGAGAGACCAGGAGTGGAATGACAGTGCCTGGGGGTAGCAAGAGTGTTCTGGGAATGGAATGACAGGTCCCAGAGTGGAATGACAGCCCCTGGAAGTAGTAGGAGTGGTCTTGGACTGGAATGACAGGACTCGGAGTGGAATGACAGCCCCTGGATGTAGGAGTGTTCTCTGACTAGAATGAGACACCATGGAGTGGAATGACAGCCCCTTGGGGTAGTAGGAGGGTTCTAGGAATGGAATGACAGCCCCTGGATGTAGCAGGAGACTTCAGGGACTGGAACGAGAAACCACAGAGTGGAATGACAGCCCCTGGATGTAGCAGGAGACTTCAGGGACTGAAACGAGAAACCATGGAGTGGAATGACAGCCCGTGGAAGTAGCAAGAGTGTTTTGAGACTGGAATGACAGGCCCCAGAGGCAAATGACAGCCCCTCGGTGTAGCAGGAGTCTTCAGGAACTGGAACAAGAAACCACAGAGTGGAATGGCAGCCTCTTGGGGTAGTAGGAGTGTTCCGTGCCTAGAATGAGAGACCACAGAGTAGAATGACAGCCCCTGGGGCTAGTAGATGTGTTCTGAGACTGGAATGACGGTCCTTGGGGATAGCAGCAGTGTTCTGGGACTGGAATGAAAGACCACAAAGTGGAATTACAGCCCCTAGAAGTAGCAGGAGTATTTTGAGAATGGAAGGACAGGCTCCAAAGTGAATTGATAGTCCCTGGGGGTAACAGGAATGTTCTGGGACTGGAATGAGAGTCCACAGAGTGTAATGACAGCCCCTGGGGGTAGGAGGAGTGTTCTGGGAATGGAATGACAGGCCCCAGAGTGGAATGACAGTCCCGGGGAAGTAGCAGGAATATTCTGGGGATGGAATGACAGGCTCCAAGGTGGAATGACAGCAGTTCAGGGTAGCAGGAATCTTCTGGGAATGGAATGACAGCCCCTAGAGTGGAATGAGTGACCATGGGTGTAGAGGCAGTTCTGTGCAACTGGATTTGCCAACTGTAGAAATATTTCTCGAATGTATGTAGCTATTTGTCAAATCAGCTCCATCTCAGTAATTATCCCACCTGTCGGCTCCTTAGTTTCCTTACAAATTCTTGCGGTTGATGTGAGCCACCTCCTCCATTGCCAGTCATAAATCTTGTACTTGTCCCTCCACCTGTTCCAGTGTCCAGTTCTGCTCCCTTCCTGACCTCCATGTTCCCTTTCCGTGAGGTTGATGTGAGCCACCTCCTTCATTGTTAATTCCACTCTGGGGCTTGTCATTCCAGTTCCAGAATACTCCTGCTGCCTCTAGGGGCTGTCATTCGAAGCTGGGGACTGTCATTCCAGTCCCAGAGTAGTCTATTTTGGCCCAGAGACCCTAATGGAAAATCCATTCTGCATTTTCTTTGCGACTCTACTTGTACTGTATGTTTTTCAATGGAGCCCATGCAAGTCAATTGGAATTCCTGGCTCCCATTATTTCCAATGGGCCTTCAAGTGTCTCCCATTGTTTCCAATGGGCAATCCTGTCCTTCCTTTTAGTACATCCCCAGGGAAAGGGCTTGCTTGAATCTTGGCCGGCTGCGGTGATGCGGGCCAAACTTGTTGCCTCCAGTCACGGGGAAGGGCAGGCAGGGCGAGGCGAGGCTGGCCCTGGTGGCCAGAGGAGCCCCTTTTGTCTGGGGGGTGGGGAGGCTCTCCCTCACAGCTGTGCCCAACCAACCTTAAATTCCAGGGGGCGGGGGTGCAGACTCCTTCAAAATTCACGACTCGGAGGGTGGGAGGTGTGGCGGAGCGGCAGCAGGCGGCTGACAGGCGGTGTGTGCAGCACGTGCACGAGCAGAGCAGCACGCAGCCACAGGGCTTTTGTTTGGTGGGTGGGGCCCGGCCGGGCCGGGCGGAGCAACAGCAAGCAACAATGGAGGAGCACTGGCTGCGCAGGCACTGAGGCAGCCAGGCAGCCAGGCGGCATGTGCAGTGCACTGTGCAGGCAGGGCTTTGAGGCGAGGGTGGGGAGGGGCCAGGCTGGGTGGCAGCAGGCCATTCTGCCATCCGCCAGTAGGGGGCGCTCTAGGCAAGCGCCTAAAATTTGCCTATGATGGTCCGGCCCTGAAGACGCCAGAGATCAGTTCCACGGAGGAAATGGCCACTTTGGAGGTTAGATTCTATGGTGTAATACCAAGTCCGTAGCCTCCGCAAACCCCTCTCTTCCCAGGCTCCACCCACACATCTCCAGGAACTTCCCAAGCCTGACTTGGCAATGCTAGGCTCAGAAGCCTTCTGGGTGACTTTGGATCAGTCACTGTCTCTCAGCCTGGCCTACCTCAGAGTATTGAGATTACAAAACAGAGGCAAGGAGGACCATGAATGCTGCTGAATGCTCCTTGAAGGAAGGAAGGCATAAAAATTGTACTAAATAAAGAATAGAAAGATCAAATACACTGCCTTACTGGGCCAATGAACCTAGAAAGAATGAATACTGTGCACTTGCAACACTATTTCAATCTCTCATAAGACTTGCTGCAGGAGAATGAGGTGGTAAAATGGACTGCACCTCTTTTGGAAAGTTGTGTTTAAAGCTAGCATGGAAAGACGGGGGAATAGAACTTTCCTGTCTGCTGCGCTAATTATTGGCATGTTTTATTTTAAGCTGAAGTAACATTTAAAGTTGGGATCCAGCACCTCCAAAGAAAGAAGCAGAGACTTTAAACTTCATAACTATCCTTGTCATTCTGATCTACTGAAAATTTGATGTGGGACTTTGCAGATAGCTAGTACCTGACTATTCAGGAAGCAAAACTAGGCTTTCAAGGAACCTGATCCCAGCCCCAAAAATAAGTTCAGAGGTATCATTTTGGAAGATAGCAATTGAACCCAAAGATGAATTGCTCTGAGCCTGGATGTAACTAATAATGTGTTCCATAAAGTAGTTCAATACCTTAAACACAGGAGGACCCAAGAACTGAGGTCTTCTTCAACCCTAAAGATGCTGGAAAAAGAGAGAGTCCCAAGAACACTGTTGAAAGAAAGGAGCAGCAAGAGAGAGGGACTGGGAAGACTGCTAGTTTTGTCTTCAGCATTTGTTCAAGTATACAAGTGCTTATCTCAGATGAAGACCAAGACAAAGCTAATCAAATTAGATAGTGGACTAGTTTGGAATTTCTGAAGACATGTTCCAGATTATGAACTTAATGTGTTTGGTTTTCAGTCTGAATATAATTGCCTAAATGTATTTGCCTATTTCAGATTCTGTCCTTGAGTTACTCTTCTGAGAAGCAAACTCTAAGGAAGTCCTACTAATCTATTGATCCACACCTGGACCATTTTATCCATTAGGTTCATCTAGTCAAAATAAGAATGTAGATTTGCATTTCTAGATCAGACCAAGGCCTGCAAAGTTAAGAACATAAGAGAAGCCATGTTGGATAGGGCAATGGCCATCCAGTCCAACACTCTGTGTCACACAGTGGCCAAAACCCAGTTCAGCATTTTTG